AGAGAAATGAACGGTGTCCGTAGAAATGAACGGCCATTCCGTATATAATTAAGGATAACCAAAAAAGATATTAAATCAACGTAGGTTTCATCATAATTTCTGTCTATGTATATAAAAATAAAATTGTAAAATGTTAATTATAAGTTAAATTTATTACGTTAAGTTTTATATCAATTCTGATATTCGTATTTAATTTTTATATACTATAACATGTAATTACATAAAACAAACTTTAGAAATTTATATGTTTTAAATTTATATCTTATATTATAAATAAATATTTTTTAAAATTAAATATATAGTTTTCATCTAACTTCTATTTTAGAATGCGACAATAAATTAAGTTAGTAAACATTAATTTTTGAACAAATGACCGAATTGATTATTTGAGTACCAAACAAGAGTGTATCTTAGTTTTGCATAAGATTCAAAAATTGAATAAAATGATGAAACAGATATAACTTTAATAGCAATAAACGATAATTCACTACTAGTGTATTAATGTAGCTGGATACAAAATATACTTTTTTAGAATTTTGTAATGCAATATTTAAAGCAATAATCGAAAAAATTCTCAACGTAAAATTATGTTTGATAACGAAAGAGTTTCGTATTCAAGCGTTATAAACATAAACAGTAATGGTACATGTAAAGTCAGGCATCTGCAACTTTATTCTTATGAGACTTCTGAAGAGGGCGCCGATAATATTTCAATATTCCTAACTATTACATTTCTTGAGATTCTTTCCCATGAGCTATCGCTGAATAATGTGCCCATGGATTCGCGGCCCGGCGATACTCTCCACACGAACTATCGCCGAATAATGCGCCCATGGATTCGCGACTCTTTCGATTGTCTCTCCCATTAAAACTAAAACACGCGCCCAGTCTACCAACACATATGTAACGAATCCTTAAATAAAGGACACTAAAACCTATTGCGTTTACACTGAATTGATGCATTAATCTCTCACTCATCCCCCCCGCCCCCAACGCCATTAAACCAGCGGTACGGCGTAATTCAACTACCTTGGTCTTCGGACCATTCTGGTGGCTGAAATTCCAACAATAGGAGAGCAGGTTTTTCATTAAATGTGTTTTATAATCATTAAACTACTAGTTCTTTTACATTAACCCATTAAAACTTTGTTTGAAAAATATATAGACATGCTCACCGAAATGAGTTTAAGCTACGCAGTTTTTTGTGTTAGTGTTTTGATCTTTAATAGATCTAGCAATGAATACCAAACCATTTATTGTATTAATAAAGAATATAATATATGAGTATTTTTTTAGGACAGTAAGCGTATTCAACAATAAAACCCTCCAATGTTTATACCCATATTAATAAATATTAAAAAATATATATATACACACACACTATCTAAAACAGCAATTTGAGTCCATTCAATTGTTTAGCAAAGGTTAAAACAGAGTTATATGTATACTGAAATGACGACTTAATTAATTAATTAATAAACATTAATTCAACATATTTCAATTCGGTTTAATTCAATAAGATAATAAAGTTTTTAAAAACAATTTTATTTATTAAATAAATATGGCAAAAAACTTAGTCCTAATCCATATACTAAGAGTGAGAAAAGAATAAATAATGTTTATAGAATTTTAATTTTAGTTAACTGTATTGAAATAAATAACTGAGTAGAATGTAATTGTCTAACATTTTTTAATTAGAGAAAATCAAAGAAACAAGCGCACATGACAGCTACATGTATTGTCTGGGATCAGACTAAAGGCTTCCCTGAGATGATGAAGGGATGCTTGCTGGCAGGTGGAATGGACAATGCAATAATTCAATACTGCCTTTGTATGAG